GAGGGAATGCACCTGAAAATATCAACCACTGGTCGAGGTTATCGTGTTGATCCCAACCAGGTATTCTGAATCTACCAACATGGCTCAGACGGAGAGTCAGTGATGCCATAGACTGATGCCACGTATTGGTTTAGTCCCCCAAGCTTTCTCCCAACCTAATCCTACATTCGGCAACATCAGTTTCTATTTATTTATTTGAACACACATATATTGATACAAAGGGGCACCAGAAATATATGCGCCACATAATAATATTGAGAATGTGATAAAAAAGAATGCTAGATGCGTATAAGAAAAAGAGGAACAACAACGAACAAAAATTAGTATATGATAGTGAAATAACAATAATGGGAGGGGCAGTTCAGTTAAGAAAGGTACAACAAGAAAGAATTCTCCCAGTCAAAGTTACGTACACTTATTTATGAAGTAAAATAAATTTACAGCAGGATCACCATTGGCTTCTATTCTGAGGCATATCTGATAACGTCTCTAACATCTGCCTTGCACCATCTCTAGGACTACAACCACGGAGTCGTGAAGGACCAACAGAAACCAGCCCCTTTGCAGCTTTCTTTCATACCACGACACCATGTCATACACTGACCACCTCTCCGCTTTTTCAAACCAGTCCCAGAGTCGGCAAATAATGCACGACGTGAAATTCTCTGGGACAACATTCGTACAACATGTTAAAGCAACCGAAGTCGGTGTTTCAAGATGGTGACACCAATTGAATTATTGTCGCTGAGCCCGAACACACGATATCGAATCTCTGCATTACTAACATGGTGTTGCCACTGGATGTCAGCAATCCTTCAGAGGCAACGATAATCGCACACAGAGAGTCATCTAACATCCTCAACTCGGAGAGGCCGGGTTTCACAAGCATAGATCAGAACTGCTCTCACCAACGCGTTGTAGATCCGACCTTTCACAGTCAGACTGACATCACGAAGGCGCCAAGATGGCTCAGATTGGTATAAGCCGTTCTGGCTTTGACTATACGTGAATTGATCTCATCAATCACACAACTAGCAGAACTTATCGCTCAGTAAGATAATATTATCCGCATACTCAAGGTTGAGAAGTCTTTCTGCAGGCAACAAATCCACACCACCATTACTTACATTCATCAGAGCTGTTTCCAGAATGTCATCGATGGCGAAGTTGAAGAGGAATGATGAGATTGAGCAACCCAGTCTAACCCCACTACTCGAATGGAACAATGGAGAGAGGTGGTTGTATGCCCTCACTCTGCCTGAGGTGTTTGTATATAGGGCTTTTAGGATGTTAATAAACTTCTCAGGCACACCCTTCTTCAATAGACAATCCCAGAGAACAGTCCTATCCAAACAATCGAAGGCAGCCCTGATGTCAAGAAACACTACGATTGTTGGCCTTTGATAAGTATGGCGGTGTTCTAACATTTGGCGGAGGGTGAAGATATGATCAATACATCCTCGACCAGAACGAAACCCAGCCTGCTCCTCGCGAGTCAATCTTTCTCGGGTTTTGAACAACCTACGAAGTATGACGGAAGCCAATAGCTTGGACGCAATCGGAAGTAGACTTATCCCCCGATAGTTGTTACAGGAACGACGTGAACCCTTTTTAAAGATAGGGACAACTATCGACTCATTCTAGCTCCCAGACCTTTGTAAACAACGTCGTCAATTCCTTAGTCAAAAAGTCATCACCATCTTTAAAAAGAGCCGGAGGTAAGTCATCTGGGCCAGGTGATTTGTAGCGCTTCAGGAGTTGGAGTTCCTTGAGGACTAAGGACTCATTTGGTGGATCAGTCGTCACAGGTCATGGAGGGTAGGACAATCTAACCGATGTTGCCAGAGTAGCAGGCCAGTTGAATTGCCCTTCGAAGAATTCTGCCTATCGTCCAAGACGTCGACGGATGTTGGTGATTGGCATCCCGTCATCCCCACAGATTGTTTCGCTCACACCAGACTTCTTGCTGCCCGTGGCTCGTATGAATTGAAACAGCTTCCGGCAGTTACCAGATGCGGCTGCTGCTTCCAACTCACTAGCACACTCCTACCATCAAGCTTCTCGGTCTTTACGCAAGCTTTGCCCAATTTCATCACTAAATGAGGTTAAGCATATATAATACATGTCATGCTAAATTTATAATTAAAGTATTGAGTGAACATTTAGCTGCCTATGTCTAGTAAATTGACAGGGGTTACAGTATATCATGTTTTCTAGGATCTGTCTCTTAAAAATGGTTTGTGATCAATTGCTTAAATAATAGGATTTAAAAAACATGCGAATCAGATCAATTATTATGGCAACTACGTCTTTTTATATACTGAACTGATTAAGGGTCAATAGACTTATCTCTGATTTATATAAACTAGATAGCAACTCACTTCATTCAACCAGTAATATTAGACCATCATATTTTAAAACTACTGGAGACAACTCAATAGCTTCTTCCGCATTTAGGCTTACACAAACGTTGAAACAATAGTAAGAAGTAAACAAATGATGCATCAACTAGTGTGGCTGAGATAGTGGAGAAGATTTGTAGCTCGGGTGGATGATTTTGATAGAGTTTTGTTCTCTGAGATGTATGGTTTGGTCATGAAGATTTCATCGTCCTTTTGTCAGGTAAACTTCTACCTGAAGTTTGTGCTGATAATGTCAACTTTGTTGACAAATATTATCTGATGGACATGTGCCTAGTCAGAAGAAATAAGTGCGGTATTTTTATATGTAGTAGTGGAGTATTAGCTGGATTGATGTACGTATGTAAATATACCACAACTACCTAGAAAGGCGTTTACGAAAACACAACTGGGTGGCTTGATATGTCCTCTAATCCATGAACCTCGTCGTATCATAAAGCGAACAACAGCAATCGGTTGTCAGTAAACAAAGTTCCGAAACAGAGACACACAAAACGACACCAAAGTTCCAAAAACTTAACATGAGCTTAGATTGCCATTGCTCAAAAGCGATAACGAAAAGATAACAGCAATGGGATTTCGAAATACACGATAATGATAAACATCAGATACTGGCCTTTCCCTTCCTTATAATGATTGAAAATATCCGACGTGTTTTTTGTCTGTCAAATATAAGATGTCTTAGACATTATTTCTAGTATTTATACTTAGTAACAAATGAAATGGATAATTATATTGACCTATTTTCGTTTACAGTTGCATCAAACCTGATACACGTTTTGAAGACTAAATAAAAGTATGAACAGAAAATATTAGCTAGACGTTCGCCAGCTTACACATACTTTTGAGTAGACAAGATACCCCCTTGCCTAAAATAGACCAGTATCGTATGTATTAATAAACATTTATTTTGTAGAGATTTTCTGTTATCAGCACTTACTCGGATTTGAAACCACAAAACTTAGAAGTTATCGAATGACTAAACCTTTATATTCACTTCTCAATTATAATACAAGGATACACTTTTCGGAATGGTACATCTTGGGAACACTTTTGACAGGCAGTGGAGAAACTAACTAAAGAACCTTAAAGCACGATTAAACCTAAGAAGAGCAATGAACGGGAAAGGTACGTAAGATATATTAAGCACTTAGAGATATTGTTTGTCGCAGTTGGATATAATGCTGATACACGAGTAGATCCAACTGGTGTTGAGGGAGACTACCATTACAATCACAGTATTCGCTTCTATGTCAGTAACTTGTGCGCGTATTTAGTTGACCAATTCTGCAAGAGAACATAAATGTAGCTACTCATAATAGCGTATCAATTTTTTTCTAGCTCTGATTGTGTAATGGATAAATGAACCGAAAACAAACACGAGTGCTTGTAAGTATTGTATATCCGGAGCTAGACAGTCTAAAATGACCATAAAAATTAGCATTTACGAATCATTAAGGATCACTAGCTAGACTATTCTTTTCTCTTTCTTCTTAGTCATCTTTTACTGAATGTGGAACTTGCTTGCAGAACACTGACGTAAACGTTTGTAAAGATGTTATTCACTTGTAGAACCCTGCCCCCAAATGAAATAATCTGATTTTCGAACAGTCGTACGATCTTCAGATAGCAAAGACTTGTAGCTAGTAAGTTATATTATGTTTCACTATCAGTGATACCACTACTACTTCACTTCGTCAAATTCATTTCACTGTGATGACAAGTTATGATAACTTGAGATGATGTAAGTTTGTCAAAGGTTTCATTTTGGTTACAAATTGCTGACAACCATCGTTGCGAGAAAACGACGAAAAATCATTTGCCGATTTAGCGTGTAACTCAAAATAACTTGGGCAGTAATAATAAATCCAAGGTCAAATGTATTTTTATAGCGTTATTCATGACAGTTGACCATCCCAGATTATAAGAATAAAAAGCAGTCTAGTAACAACTACGAACATACAATTGACCAAAAACGCTCTCCAAATACTAATCCTTAAAGCTAATTAACTATAACGTGGAGTCAGAGTGCATTTTTAGTTTCTAGGAGAAACACTGAAGTATTTAAGTCTATATAATCATGCTTGACCTGGTGGAGCACTTCCATTGCAATTAAAGCAAAAAAGATGACTGAAAGAAGTTACTAAATGCACAAACAACCATAGGAACCCCGAGTACTGAATTCCAACTTGTTGAATAACAAAAACAGGCATTGCTTCAATATAATTTGAATTAACTAATTTCAGAACCAACAGATACAGTTTACATTGTCAACGAATGTGGTACCATTTTGAATTAAATTCTATGGACGAAATAAATACTTAAATAAGAGGATCTGACAGTAAGATTGGATGTACTATGAACTTACTTAACGTTTAGCTGAAATAGTAACGTTAGAATTTGAAAACCACGGGTTTATTTCTCAATTTTTAAAACAAACTCTCAAATTAGAAGATCCTGACTTAAGAAATGCTTCCCCGAACGTCTCGTTAATTTAGATTTGTGGTGATCATTGACTTTTCTCATATGTGTGAATATCCAATTGACCAATCAGTTTCTTGCCCACCATTCCATGATTCGAGTAAATACATTCTTTTAAATATTTTAGAAATGTCTTAGTTTTCCACAGTTTAAAATCCCTTTCTATGACAGAAACTGCAAAGTCTCACTTGAAAAGAGTATGGGAGTCTATGAAAAGATCGCGCAGATTTGATCGTGACAACTTGGATACTCCTTTGAAAAGATGTCTAACAGCTTTCGATCTTACCCTTTTGGGTATAGGTAATACAATTGACCCTTACTTCATATTTCTTGTTCACAGGAAATATGGCAGGAGCTGGTATTTACGTCCTAACTGGTACAGTAATCCGTGACAAATCCGGACCGTCTACTTTCTTGTCATATTTGGTTGCTGGTGTAACAGCTTTCTTAAACGCTTTGTGTTATGCTGAGCTTGGTTCACGAATACCGAAGGTAATTCTAAGGTATTTTCTGTTCAGTTGTTTTCAATTTATTATTCTATTAGTAACTAGTTTATAATGCTTTTAATAATCGTGTTTTGTTTGAAATCTTAATCACTATTTTCGCAACGTAAATCAACACAAATATTTAAATCTAACTCTAATATAGATAAAATATTTATCTAAAGGATAAATGTTTCGAAAATAATTTCTAATCTCTAGAAACGTTGCTTTCCATTTATTTGAATTGTATTTAAATAATAAGGACATCTGTAATATTTCCATTATTTTTCCCAAGGTTACTTTTAATACTTGCACGGCAAATTTATTTTAGATGAATAACAGAGCAAACAGGTTTGTTTTAATCATCGACATTTCTACTATCCGCATTATTTGAGTAATGTTACTGATATTTTGTTAAAATATTATACATTTCACCTCCATTCCTTGTGAGCGATATTCTCGGTATAGCCTCACAGCGAATACAAAGATTTCTATTCTTATTTAAATGTCACTAAATGAGAAAATTCACATTGTTTGTAATTGTGAAAATAATATGCAGTTAACATCCTCAATAATTTGTAAAATAACAATGCGGAACCTTAAAGTGATTTGTAAAATCACATTGAAACTAGTAATTGTAATCGATAGTCATCATGATAATCTTTAATACAGTTGACTTTTTAGTAAGTAGTTTGGTGTCATTGGTAACGGAATTCATGCAAGATGTCAATTTATAACTGTGCTTGATTTTGACTAAATAGCCCTGGATCGGATCAAATCTCTCATCAGTTAATTCATAATATCTTCCATATGAAATGTGAATGTGTTGGTCTAGAACTTTAGAACATACCTATGACGTTTTTGTTGCTGAGTTCTAATGTGGAGTAAAATGATAGTTCAATATTTTCCGGTTTTCAGTACTTTTATCTGTGATTACAACAACATTTAATCTGATGTAGTCATGTGTAAGTTGCTATAAGTTGACGAGTAAAATTTAGTGGCCAGAATTTCACTTGGGTGATGATTAAAATAACGGAATCGATCTCTGAATTCTTTTGTATTCACATGAGTTTGATTTACACTTATAAGTTTTGGTATTATCTGCTGCGTTTAAAAAAATAACTGCTCATATGGTAGTAAAATTGCCTGACAACTGTGGGTATATAAACTAGAAATTCGCCATTAACCATACATCCAAGTATTAAAACATTATGTCACTTTTCTATCTCTTCCATCTGAGCCCTTACAGATGATAAATATTTCGAACATGACAATTTATGGGCTAAAGTGTTTACCAAATATAATCAGCTTCAGATAAATAGTACTATGGATATTTAAAATTACATAGTCCTTTGTGTTCAATAAGTACAGTTTGGTAGTTCTGAATATATTCCCTCATTTCACAACCTCATTAACTCTACTTTTATTATTATCATCAGCTTTATTCAATATTATATTTTTGGTACAATATAGAATTCTCAGCGTAAAGTATTTCAACAAGTTTCTGTTTCTTTCTTCTTGGTCGGTTCTGGCGATAAATATTGAGTGATCGCCAGCTTTAAAAATAAGGGAAACTTGGGTTAGGATCTTTCTTAAATTTTATTGATCTGAATTAAGAATTGTATTTGTTTTTCAGGTATTCGAACAACATAGTTCAAAAAATGTAGGAAAATATTTTTCATCCTAACGACGATTTAGATCATTTGAACAAATCAATAGATAAATCCTAGTCTTATATCATAGTAGGAATTGAATATGAGATTATATTAATGACAGATTAGATCAAATCCAAATAAGCATGCAACTAATAATCAACATTATTTTATTATTTAGTTATATTAGTTTCAATCAAAATAAATATTATAAATAAAAATAATATATTTGTAATATCCCAATGAGTAGAAAATTGGATTTTCTGACGTTTCGTGGCTTAGTGTAAGTCACTTCTTCAGAGAATAAATAACCAAATTAAAATTAATCCAAGTTTAAATAGTACAACGGAACAATGCAAGAATAATATTTGATCAATCAAAAAACAGGTCTGAACAAGTTGATGTCATGTCATTTCTGTCAAGGTGATTCATAAGTGATAAGTATGTAAATTTGTGTGTGTATGTATATGTGCATTGTTTAAGAATGAAAACTTATGTGACCTTTATGGTAAGAAAGGATAGAGTTTAAATTTGTAATATGAAAGTGTGAAATTGTAAATACGATCAGACTGAATGGTTAGGATAGATGGTCCAAGTAAAGAAATCCAAATGGAAGTCTAAACTTATCCATTTACCGAAAGCCGACGCATTCAAATCGTTATATTGACTTCCATTCAGCACATCCTTTCAGTGCTAAGATCTCGCTAGCCTTAAATCTTTTTAGAAGAGCTAACAAGATCATCACATCAGAGGAAGACAAACGAAAAGAACAAATGAATATAATTAGCACCTTACAATTTAATAATTTTCCTATGAAGATTATTAGAAGCATATTAAAACAAAACAATTTATTACATTATAATAATGTTTCGAATGAAATGCCATGGATTGGTACTGTAGTTCTACCATACCGTCATGGCACAACAGAAGAAATTCAAAGAATCTTAAAACACCACAGAATTAAAGTGTATTACAAAACAACGAACACACTACGTAATACTTTAGTTCGCCTGAAAGAAAAAATCCCTTTCATGTCCACACAGAACTGCGTCTACAAATTAGGTTGTATCGATTGTGATGCCTATTATATTGGAGAGTCTTCCCGCGAAATCGTGACTAGAGCCAAAGAACATATTAGGTACACAAAGAAACCTCCTAACAATCCGGTAGAATTGAACCAACTTCAAATTAAATCGGCAATAGCAGTTCATGCCATTTTCAACAACCACCAAATCGATATTAAAAATATCAAAATATTGCAAAAAGGCTTTTCCAACTACAAAGAAAGGAGGGTAGCTGAGGCGTTCCACATAATGCTTAATCCTACTTCTCTCAATAGAAAAGAAGGCCTTACCATACACCCTACTTGGACCATCTATCCTAACCATTCAGTCTGATCGTATTTACAATTTCACACTTTCATATTACAAATTTAAACTCTATCCTTTCTTACCATAAAGGTCACATAAGTTTTCATTCTTAAACAATGCACATATACATACACACACAAATTTACATACTTATCACTTATGAATCACCTTGACAGAAATGACATGACATCAACTTGTTCAGACCTGTTTTTTGATTGATCAAATATTATTCTTGCATTGTTCCGTTGTACTATTTAAACTTGGATTAATTTTAATTTGGTTATTTATTCTCTGAAGAAGTGACTTACACTAAGCCACGAAACATCAGAAAATCTGATTTTCTACTCATTAGGATATTACAAATATATTATTTTTATTTATAACAATCAACCCAATGCTCAATTTATTCGAAATTATCAAATCAAACCTTGGTAATGACACCTAAAAAATAAATATTAGTTCACGTTTTTTGGTAGATTCAAACGCGAACAGCAATTCTCAAATCAATAACTTGTAATTAAGGTTTAATCGATAAATTCATTTACATGTTGGCTTGCAAATCTGAGACCAGAGAGCAGATTCATTCATTATTCAGTTTAGAATTTGTCTGCATAATATCAGTTCTCAATGAAAATTTCTTTCTTTCATGTTTTTTTTTCGAAAATACTTGCTGAACTTGGCCTAACTTTTTCATAATAATTTTGTTTGTGTTTCGGGCTGATATTTTGTTTTTCTAAATCTCAAAATACTGTCTAATTTGCATGTTAATTAATTCATTTTTACATTCACATTACATCCTGCATATAAGCAATACATTAATTTAACTACAAATTCAAAATACATATTGAGATAGGTTTGACATTACTGAAAAATTTGATAGTGTTTCCGATCGTTATTGGGTTGTAAGCGCTAAATTCTCTAAAATGTGGCTCAACCGATATACCAATCTAATCATAAACTTCCTAACAGGTTATGCTTGCAATCATTACTTAGAATCAGATAAACTTCATAAATTTAACTCAACAACCCTTATTGGTATTACAGTGTTCGATTGTAAGACGAAGCCTGCTTTTGTACAAAGCTCACCCTTCTTTAATACTTATTGTTTTAGGCTGTTGATTGTTTTATATTTGAAGTTTTCATGATGATTGTGTGCAAATGGAGGTATTGAAGTTGTTAAACAGACGTTATTCCTTATGTGTACTGTCGTTAATGAAATGATTCGAACTATATAATCACCTTCCCAAGTGTTATGATACTAGTCTACTGAATTACTGTACACACTTGATACGTAAAAGGCTATTAAATGAGACCTTGATTTGTTCTTTAATATATCTGATTCATGCTGCATACCTAAGTTTCTTGAAAAATTACCTCGCTTCATCATTTTTGATTACATCTTTCTACTTTAATTGTGAGATGGATAATCATCATGGCATCTTATTTTAACAACAATAACAGCAAACATTCTTAGCTCATTTATTATCGTCACTTTTACTATCGTAAAACTCTCATGTGGCTGCAACAAATCCAGACCGGTAATTGTTTTATACTTGACCTTGAACTATAAATAAACTAGTGAATTTGATGCGCATAAACATCACGACCATAAGGTTAGTATTCCCTTCGCATGTGTAACTAAAACAACCATTCAATTCGTGTGTATATTTATTTCTGTATTTTACTGCACACAGTATGAAGTAAATAATCATCATATAAACCGAAACTTTGTAAATTCTGGTTCACTACTAATTTCATAGAACTGTTAGTATTATATAGCGGAACATCAGGGAAAAAATCTGTTTTGTTATTCACGTATAGGAAAATACAAATTTCTAATTATAATGAATAACATTTGCCTAATGCCCAAAGTTTTTCAAACTATTGAATCTAAACGTGATTTGGACACAGCAAAACAATCATGTTATTTGTTTTTTATTTGTTATTATTTCCATTAATGAATACTACATGCAAGTCAGTCAGCCATAAGCAACGTAAGACATGTAAAAGGATTACTGAACTAGCTTTTAATATATATATATATATATATATATATATATATATATATATATATATATATATTTCATTTCAGTATGAGGCTGTGGAAATTGTCGAATTTCATTGAAATCGTGAAAATATCTAGGTTAGGCCACCACTGAAACCTGGAGGCACTGGACGGTTATTTCGCGCTAGTATGGGGCTACTCAGGGTTATGCATCCACGCCCTCGCAAACGAGAAACGAAACCAAAACCTTCAGTCTCGCGCGCGAACGCCTAAACTTTAGACCATTGGTACGCCATGTAGTTGTGCTCAAGTCTGACATAGATCCATCCATGATTTTGGTTGAATTCGACAATCTTCATACTGACGACTATCACCTGCTTGCTTAATGACTAGCTTCGACAAGAAACTTCCGTAGTTATATTGAAAAGCCATGACCAGCGGAGCTAAACTGTGACAGGTCTTAAGTAGGTACCCACCTAATACAATGAAATATGGTCGTGCAATATCGTGGATTTATTTAATTTAGACTTGTACACCCGTAGTGTCAGTTATTATGCCAAGCCCATATACCTTATTCGAGCTTTCGGACATCCCATTTTATTCATTCTACTTGAGTCATATTTTGACCTTGCTAATTATAAGCTTATTAGACTTGACTGTTTTTATATGAGTGTATATGTGTGTGCCCTTCTTATTCCATTAATCACATGTCTGTAGCTTTATTTTGTCTGACTATAAATATTGAGTAACGCTTGACAAAGATGGAGTTGGCTTCCCAGCCATCTTCCATACGCGTCATTTTTGCTTTACTATGCTTCACCCACTTCATGTACGAAATATACGTATTCTCAAGTCAATTCTCGTTATTCGACTTATTTAATTCCGTTATTGGATAACGCGATTTAAGTCGACGATGATATACGAGAAATGGTGATAGCAAACATTCGTACACTCTAAATGGAGTCAGATCAACGGCCACAAAACACCACTAAATGCAGGCTCAGTAGTGTAGAGGTTAAGCGTTCACGTATGGGTCTGGAAGTCTTGGGTTCTAGATACATGATGTTAAAACGGATCAGAACAAGTCAAACGTTTTGCTAATCCTTTGCACTTGATGAATTTTTTCAACTGTATTAAACGTGTGACAGAAACTGTCTTTAAGTTTACTATTAACTTGAAAAATTTAGCTTACAAAATCTAGTTTAGTCAAGTGCCTAAATTTTTCATATGCTCCTGGTACAGTCTAAATATATTAGTCTTTCAAAATGATATTATTTTTCATACACTCTTCATATCTTCTTGAAAACTCTCATCAACCATGAAAAGCGTTTGCAGTCGAAAATGGTTTTCACGCTTTTGAAAAAAGTAATACTGTAGTTAGACATAAACAGGCTTACTAACTATCACTATCATAAAATGCGACGAGCAACAAAACTTTGAAATACGCCACGTTTTTCTTTGCGTCTGGTAAATAAATTTCACTGGGAAACGTTTTTTCGCCAAATAAAACACTATTCAGCTCCTTCCCTCTTCACTAAGCTTGATTTCATGCTCCCTTCTTATTTCTATTTTTACGTTTCAATTTTCTCGAAAATTAACTATCAATTTTTTATAAGCAAAGTACTCTTTGTTGACGAGCCATCGGTTTATAACATTCTCATCGTAAAAACTGTCATAGCAACTTGTTATTGATGAACAAAGTTATATTATCTTGTAGTAAGGAACTATATTCAATTACAAGATAGTTCTGATTGTTCAACTATAGAAGTTCTAACAGAATGACTTAAATATAATATAATGTTATATTTGTCTACTTCTCAGTACTCGTTGGATTATGATTATCGAGTTAAAATATGGCCACCAGTTTGAGTAGCTTAATATCATATGAGTTGTTTGGGTATATATATATATATAAGATGTTTTCTGTAAATTGTAGGTTGCCTTTCATTCGTCGAGATAAGTTTGCTTAATGTATTACTAGTCGGAATTATACGCGAATAGAATTAAAACTAGATCAAATCTTAAGGTAATCAGAATATTTAAGCCACTTGTTTGACCTTCTACATTAATTTCTGTTTCTGTATAAGACTAGTTGGTGGATAATTTACCAAAGGTTCAATCGTCTCAAAATTTAAGGTTTTTATGGGTTATTAGTATGTTTTAAAAAATTCAAATATTTCTATAAAATAATAAATTTGATTTTATTGTATATTGACAAATAAAATTGCCTAACTCTCAATGTGTGATCAGATTGTTCGAAATGTATTGCGCTATTATATATCACTTAGTTCTGATAATCTTCGTCTTCTTATTACATCATCGCAATTTATCATAGGGGCTAATTGCTTTATAATTCTTAATCACTAATTTTTTTATTTTGGAAAATACTCTTGTATTTCTATGCATTATGTTGATTGGTTTGCGTACTTTGGATATTTAATGTAAATAATATTAAGCTCTGCGTAGATTATATATTTTTTATGGATATGTGACATTACCATTCACCGTAGAAAACAATAAAAGATTTCTGTTGACTGATTGATGATATTTTCTAAATGCTACATGCATTTAATTGAACTTACATAAGATTAATAAAATGTGATAAAGAAAAGTGTTATGAATGAAAGAAGTTAAACTGTGATATGATCTGAACTTAGTTAAACTTTGTTGTCTCTATTTTGATTTTTACATTTTTAAATTAAAAATACTTATTGAACTAACGATATACTGAAGAATAACACTTTCGTTATTGTTTTCAATGTCAAATCAAAAATTTGTCTGAAAAGTCACATTCTGAGCTTTAGGTATTCTTCATCATTATTTAAAACAAGTTAATATTTTACAATAAACCAAACAGGAATTCTTAAAAAGTAATTAAAGAATGTCGTTTTTCAGTTCTCATGATGCATGAAGTAAAACATTCAAGAAGTAATAAACTAGTCAATTGTGTAAACTGAAATTGTCACTAAAAGTTTAACTGAGTTTCAGTAGCCATTTTTGTTTATCGTGCTCATTATTTGCCAAGTGGTTGGAAATCAATTTCTTAACTTAAAAAATCGATTATAGAATTACTTTCTTATAACTAGTATTTCAAAGATTCTCCATATTTCATTTCGATTTACTCACAAATTACTTGTTATTTACGTTTTTTCTTTCATAGTCAGGATCTGCATACACCTATACATATGTGGCAAGCGGAGAGTTCTTAGCATTTATTGTTGGATGGTCAATGATATTAGAATACGTTTTGTCTGTATCAAGTGTTGCACGTGGTTGGAGTGGCACAGTAGACGCAATGTTACAACATGCTATTAGTAATGGAACAAAGAATACTATTGGCAGGTAAAATGTTTTTATGTTGTATTTTCTGTTGTATCTAAGTTACTAATAAATCAACTCTAATAACTTCTTAAATACTTTTACATTTATAAGTAGTAGTTTGATCATTTTGTTTTAAACAAAGCAGAAGTGCTAACATTTATTGAAGAAAATGAATTCGTTATATTTCGAGACTTCTAATCAGCTGCAAATGATTGGGTTAATTGATTGAGATAATGTTAATTTAAGTTTGATTTCAACTGTAAATAAATACCTGTATTACAGCTATTAAAAATCAGGGAAATTCGATATCTGTGTAATTCTTGGCTGTTTTGGAGACACTGGAAAAAAAACCCACATAACTCACAAATTCGTTTTGTTGAGCAAATGTTTATATTCATTAGCGTTTATCAGCTAGAGACGCTCCCACAAAGCTCTTTAAGTAACCACTCGTTCTCCATCGTGGTAAACAATGTAATGTTACCTGGTTTACGTTACCTATTGAATTCTACTCGTCAGTCTTTAACTTTTAACACTGAATTATGTGGCATTTCAAAGTCGATGGCTTCAGATTAGCACCAGAGTATTTAATGATTGATTGATCAATTACTAATTATGAGTGCAATATTACTGAAGATCTTTCATTGTTAATAAATTGTTTCGCCAAGCAGTCTATACGTAATACTTTTAAATTTCCTCAAGGTATTCAGCTGTGACTTATTTTAAGGATGAAATAGCTTGTTTTGGGATCCAAACCAAGAAAAGTAAAAAAAAATAGAAAACGATAATCGAAAATGCAAAAAAATGTCAAGGAGACGGTTGGTATCATGCACATTTTCACATCATTGCTAATTTTGCTCCATTATAGCCTATAACTGAAGCTTTCGTTTCAATTTTCAGTCCTGTGCAAAACACACTTAGACAAGGTCTCTGAAAATTCCATTAGCTCATTTTATTGGAATCAACAGATTTTTATGTCTTTTACTATTACGACTAACAGAATTTGACTTACTAAGATAAATCTAAGGTGTATGCTATAACTTAATAACTCAGACGTTAAAATAGTGAATTACACCGTAATCATGTTTATTTATCATCTGATTACTGGAATAATATCCACCGGTCTACCGAATTGTCACGATCATCTTTTAGGTAACATTACTTACTATTGATGATGACTCTGTTCTCTTGCTATTATTAAATGGCTAACCAAACACTCGGTAAACTGTAGGTTTTTGATCCCATTACTAGCGTTAATCAAATTGTATCAGACTTCAGAAATTGAGAAGTTTTATTAATTTGAAATTGTCTCTTCATTTTGAAAACTTAGAAGAAACTGGGTAAATTATAGGAGAATAAGAGAAAAATGGATACTGGAATTTCAGTAATAAAACAAACAGCAAACAAAAAGATTGTAATTGCTAAAACATTTTATTGATTGTTTTTTCGAGAAACTGAAAAACGCAATATGTAGCATAAAATTCATGCTGGATTATTTTTAGTTTAAATATTTGATAGGAAAACCAATGTAAAAACCAATCATAAATTTAACTGCATGGATCATCTCTTAGAAGACGCGTCTGTTGAGTTATAGATTAGTTAGTTATTAAAAATGAAGCAAACACTTAATGCTTTCCGATCACTAAATCCCTAAGGCTTATGGGTTTTGAATGGAGTGAAGTTAAAAGATGCTTCACTCTGATTACAATCGGTGAAGATGGTTGTCGGTAAATACGCAATACAACTAAACTTATCCCATAATATTTTTGTGACTTATATCTCAAATTGGAATAAAAAGGTTTTAATAAGTAATCAGCATATTATAGCTGCGTAGAGTAAGTGGACAATGTTCATTGATTAAGATGAAGATTGTGACTCAGCACCTAAACGTAACTGCATCCCAATGTTGGTATTCACTCTGGAACTCAAACCCACTAATTTCCTTTATAAACGCCTATCACGTTATCCACTGAGCCACTGGGTTCATGAAAGTATACGAAAAGTCAGAATCACAGTTTTGAGTGAGTCGTCTTTATAAGACCTGAAAGTTTCGGTTTTAACCTTGCTTCAAGAATCATACTGAACTGTTTTAAATGAAACACATATTAAGAAGATAAATGAAACTGATCTGTACTGAATCTGAAACTGAATGATATTGACTACTCACTTGAGTATACCTCAGATACTCTATTGTTAGCTCTGTTGCTCGTGACACTAGATAACATAAGTTCTAACCTCTATTCTACTGAATAACATGATATTAACTGCCATCACGTGACTGATTAGTACAGAATTTTACCTGTTATATTTATCTAAGTTAATGCTCAATCTTCCCTCGTAATTATGTTAATCCATTAGGAAAATATCCCTTTCTATTGATTTTTATGATAATTACTTGGATCTTTCTTCAAAATTATTAACATTTTATTTAGTTTTCTACATACTCTTTCAAACTATTTCCACATTGCTTGTTAAACTTCTATCCCTAATAACAAAATTCCTTCTTCAAGTCAATAAACTGCTTACAGCAGATTATTAAGGATTCAGGATATCATATTTGGTAATCAATAAATGTAAAAGTAGATAGACACACAATTACTTAGGATAACCTGACACATCTGTTGACGGGATAACCAATCACAATTGTACCATTTTTTATTATTGTTTGAGGTAATATTTTGATTTGAACCTATCCAGATTTGTTCTCATCTTTTGTTGTTAAGTTAATTGCTAGGTAAGCCTACACCATCGAAATTACTAAAGTTAATATAACTAGTTGAACAACCTTCTGATAGCATTATTCTTCCTTTATCTCTTAACGTGTAACAAGACTACTTTTGTGAGATTGAAAGTCAGTGCCCACTTGTTAGTGAAAACAAACTATTGAGTAAGGTTGGTAGTTTTAAAATGTGTTGACAAGCGATTAGGATAATCAAAATAACGAATAAATATCCTACTTGTTTTGGTTTGTCATTATAAGCGATATATTTTAACAATCAAATTTTGTAAACCAGTTGAAGTTTTTTATGAATCTATAGTTTTTTCTCTATAACTTAAAACCAGTAATATTAATACAATACAGTTTGCTTGAATTTGTCTTAGTAATTTGAGGTGTTTCAGTGGTTAGGTCATGAGTAAACGCCAGAACTTGAATAGCCGACTGATATCAGCATTTATATAACACAGTAATCGATTAAGCTTTCAGTCCAGTTAATGAAGCTTTTGGGGTAGATTCTTTGAAGTTTTCTGAAGATTCTGGGATTGTGTAGTATGATAATAGAATAGAGATGGAGAAATTTATGTTTATCTAATGATTAATAATTGTAGTTCAGCTTATACTTAGATTAAGTTATACACTTGGTGTGTTGTTTTGCTTATTTACAGATAAACAAAAGAGCAGTGTATTTTAATTTCAATTTCAAACCATTGAATCAGTTAACTAACGTGTTTAGAAAATATATAATGTAACAAGTCATAAGTTCGTTAGTATTTTTCATTTCTCATAAGATTTATGTGAATATAGTTGAATCAATCATTATTTTTCAAACTTATTGAATTTACAATTAACGTAGTAAAAAACAATATTAACATATTTTCTCAAGTTCGGCTGATAAAGCTTTCCCCAGTACTAATAATTGTTAACTTTCAAACGTTCACTTTTAAAATAGTGTAACTCGTTATTGTTTTAATTTATCTATTCTTGAGGTTGTCTACTGCGATATCTGCTAAAACTGTTCAGTATATTATAAGCAAAGATGCTTGGTGGTTAGCAATGGAATCCAGGACGCGCGTCTCGTTCTATTTGGGACTCGTGAGCTGGATGTACCTGCATCCCAGAGTTGATATTTACTCCGGGACTCGAATCCAGCACCATTCGCTTCAAACGCCATCGCGTTATCCACTTAGCTACTTGCTTGTGCAAATGAATTTGTTCAGTATATTGTTCAGAGTGTTATTGAGTCATCTTTTCTAGCAAGCATATCGTTCCTTCATCGATATACATATCAGTAATGAAGCACGTTATTCGTTATTAGTTGAACAAGGAAAAGACCGGAATTTTGTTAAGGAAGGGTCACATGAAAACCAATTTCTTCGTGGTTGTGTCATACCATTATTTTTTAACCATTATATTAAAGTTACACGACCATATTGGATGGAAAACATATTATCATTTGTTTTCATTCTCAGTTCTCTTTAAAACGAATAAACTAAAATGTATGAGTTCTTTAGGTTTGGATGTCGTAATATTAGGAAGGAACAAATGTATAACTTAGTGATTTAGTTATGTCTGTTGATTTAATCAATTTAATCTAATGGTGTTGCAAACTGTATAAATCAATTATGTTATTTGTTAACTGATGTCATTTACTTGCTGCCTAGTTTAATGTATTCAAATCTGACTATTGACCAGGTAGATAAATCGCTTGTAACTCTGTGTATAGTTTTTGATTCGGTCTGTAGTCTGTGGAATATCGGTCCCATTGATAAACGTTTATGCCGATTTGATATAATATTATCCAGATGTACTACTATATCTTCCTTCTCTTTACTTTCGATATATTTCAGTTTTCCATCCAATGTAGAATTCGTAGGCGAATACCCAGATTTTATTGGAGCACTTTTAATAATTATACTTGGTTTAGTATTATTCCGGGGACCGAAGCTTTCAGCAATATTAAATACTATAATAACAATGCTAAATTTAGTGGTAATTATTTTGGCCACTTGTACTATGTTTGCACGACCGAATGAGCATAGTTCAGAATTTGCACCAGCTAGTCATGGAGGTTTATTTCCATATGGATTCGGTGGTATGATTGGTGGAGCTGGAACATGTTTTTATGCATTTATTGGCTTTGATGCTATAACAGTTAGCAGTGAAGAAGCATTAAATCCTAAAAGATCAATGCCAATTGCTACTGGTGTATCAGTCGGTGTAGTTACGCTTTTATTCTTATTGGCTAGCTTAGCTTTGACACTTTTTGTACCATGGTGGACAGTTGACAGACAGGCTGCTTTTACAGCTGCTTTTCATGTTCGCAATTATGAATGGGCTACATATATAACAGGAATTGGCTCATTGCTGGGATTGAGTGCCAGTTTATTTACAAGTATGTATGCAATGCCAAGAGTAGTATATGCTATGGCAAGTGATGGTTTATTGCCTAAATTTCTAGGCTACCTATTACCATCTACACAAGTAAGTCTAAAACATCATTTTAATAGTTGCTGAATTCAACAAAGTAAATTGACTTCATGTAATAAAATGTCTAGATGATACATTTTTGAAATATATCGGTAAGGGATTTTCTGAAATTTCTTATTTTTTATTTACCAACTGAATAACGTAGAGAGTACATTTGGTTAAAAATGTGTATTATCGTAGGTTTCATTTTAATAGCTACGAAGTTACAGAAAGAAAAATAATAATTTCTTATTTGTTTTAAACAGTTAAAGTTTGAAAATTGATTTGCCTGTGATTAAAAATTTATCAGAATATTTTTACATCTTTCTTTAAAAGTCAAATGAATCATTTTGCGGGATAAAAAGTTTTTCAGATTAAATGAGTTCATTGAATGAAACAAGTTACTTAATTATTGCTTGTTTTCTGTCATACTTTAAAATCATACAATTGATATCGGGCTTAATAGTTTTACACTGTTGATAGTAAATAACACTAACCGTGATGTGTTTGTCAAATCAATTACCATGGAAGGATAATCTTCTTTATCTTTGTTGTACGCATGGAAGCCAGTCAACATATAATTTTGACTATAATCGAGGTGGCTGAATATTTTGTAGGACATTTCCACTTTCTTGAAGTTTCGAATAGTTTTTTTCACAAAATCATTGATCAGTACTATTGTCTGTCCATTATCGACTAATGTAGTCAAGCTTTGAGAATGCCAATGTATGAATCTGTCTTCAAATACTCCGAAATATAATGTGTGTGGTACGAGAAGCTGTAACTGTTAAATTACTAGTATTTAAAATTTAAAATTTCAACCAAAGTTCTAACCGTTAAATTAAAAGTAAGACAGGTTTCTACTAAGCAGTATCAGTTAATATAGACTCAATGCACTTGATCATTTATGTTGATTATTTTTCATAAGAGGCAATGTAAGGCTTATCAAGTTGCCTTTTTTTATTTTGCTTGCAGGTACCAGTCGTCGCATTAAGTTTATTTGGAATATTCTCTGCAATCCTGACTCTTTTATGCGATATTCATTTATTAGCTGACTTTTTAAGCATTGGAACATTAATTGCTTATACAATTGTCTCAATGAATGTATGTATTCTGCGTTATTGTCAGCCTCAACTATATTCTGGTCAATGGAGTGAATTAGAATCAAATGAAGAGGTAAGTCACATTTTGATGTTCTTTTCTTCAAATAAATTATATTTACATAAATTATTCAAATTGAAGAAAATAGTTTTTATCAGTTTGTAACAGATGATTACTACCAACTTGAGTCATTGAAGGTCATGTACACCTATCAAAAGCTCTTATTTCTAATAAATTATTAAGAATAGTTCCAAAAATCTGTTATTGGCTTTCTACGTCGCTGAAACAAACTAAATTTTCCTACATTGAAAAATATTTCTTGAGATATAGTTCATTTCAAAGTGAGTGTTAAGAACATTGATAACTCGGAAATAAATGGTTTTCGTTAGACTAACTATCCAAAACGACCCGACGTCATCACTTCCAATGATTTGCAAAATAGAAGTTGAACAGTATATTAATGCCTACTTTTTAGTGTTGTGGTCAACCTATGGAATATTGATGATTCGCTACTTGTCTCAAAGGTTTTGAGGATTCTAATAAGCGAGTGATATAAAACGGAAATATTCAAATTAAGTTTGGGAGTTTCGATGTTATTTAGGTATATCTTTAAACAGTAAATAGTAATTGAATTGCCTGCCACTAAGCACATCTCTTTCAAACAATAAATTACCACAATCTTCGACTTTTACTCATTCATTCGTCATAAAAATTCAATTAAATTGTTCTACTAACAGTGTCAAGTCATATTGTACATGTAATATTCTGTACTTTTCTCTTGTTCACGCTTTTGATTTACACCTTAGTTTATCGCTTTCAATCGAAGCCCTGATCACAGACATTTCCATAGTTCACTTTCGACTACTAGTGAGTAGTATGAATTGTTTATAAAAATATGACAAAATTCTTCATTCCGTGAACTGTAATTTAATAGTTGAACTTATGAGTTGACTTAAGCTAGACCACTATGGGAAACCTACAATCTCCACAAACCCCCATTCCGTGAACTTTTTTTGAAAAAAAGATGATTGGTAGCTAGCAGTGGAATCAATTGGAAGTACCTGCATCCGTGTTGATGTTCACTCTGGGACTCGAATCCAGTACCGTTCACTCCAAACTCCATCGCCCTTCCTAGGTTCCACAGCTAACCACCATCGATCTTTGCTTATAACGAGTGTGAGTTAAAGTAATATCGAGGCAATACACACGTATACAAATAAGACACTGATCAATTACAGTTTTAAACTCAAATGAGAAGATTCAAGTAAAGTAATACCAAGTGAATTTGTTTTCAAAACAGTAGCAACTTTTCAAGAATCTACAGTTCGTCCATCGAAATAAAAATTATTGCCCAACAAACATTCTATGATAAATTTCTATGGGATTTTAACTAGTTCCTGAGACATTGCACTTTGTAAGTTTGTATGTATTGAGAACCATCGTCGAAATTATAAAAGAGATTATCACCTTTTAGCAATTACTCTAAAAGCTATTCACACTACTCAGATATAATTTTCCCAGGCTTAAACATAAAGCAACTGACGTTTGAGTTGAGTTTTTCTAATAGCAAACAAGATCAGTAGAGTGATGTGTTCAAAAAAACAAGTACGAAATATTACTGATAAATAAAACTTGTTTAATCACTCGTACAAGAATCCACATGTGGAGAATCTGAGACCTATTTGATCAGATAAGAAATGAAATGCTACTGAATATTTACTTAAGTAGGTAGCTCTTCAAAATTACGTTTTGATAGCTAAGTAGTAGAATGGAAAATGACATATTCAGTCCTCAAATAATCTATATATCAGTATTATGAGCTGTATTTTTTTTACAATATAATTGATGTCCTCTGATTTAGGCTTTTTTTGACACTAGTTTGATCTCGTAAAAAAGGTTAAATCATCTTGCTATTGTATTGTTTCAGATAACCAACGATTATTTCTTGTGTTATGAGAGCTACCCATGAATTTAGTTCATATAAGTAACAACCAGAAGATAAGCTAATTAAAACTAGAATATTTATCTGAAACAGATTTCTTCAAAATGTTTATTCAAAACTCACGGTAGACTAGATAAATTAATGACTCGTGTAAAATATATATTTCCATCGTATGTTCAATATTAATGATCAACTCAACGAATTTCAAAGTTTCATTTGTAAAATAAACTAAGATCTCATTATCTGCTTGACAGTGAGTCAAAGGTTTAATTCTTCACCTGTCCTAGTGCTGTTCATTCTTTTAATGTTTGCCTCCTTCCCCCAGTGCAATATGTTCCTTTGTTTTCCTTTTTTTCTTTTCCCTCCGGGATTCCAAGTTAGTGCTTGTCTCATGATCTTGTGTAGACAACTGTTTATAAATACCTGTACTATTTGATGATGGTCGTAGTAGTTCTCCAAGTTTCAGTTCCGTACGATAGAACTGTCTTGACGTTCGTATTGAAGACTCTGACTTTGGTGTCGTCTGACAGTTGTTTTGAGTAAATACTCACTATTTGATAATACACTAATTTATCACTATTTATTTTTGTGTCTTGTTTTAAATGTTGACCTGATTAATATTATTTTATAAACCTATAGAAGTGGTTGATATGAGTAATTCAATATTCCATACTTCTTTAAAAATTGATACAGTAAAAATAAAGTAATTTCAGATAAAGTCATAAAATTTTCTGTAGTAATCAATTAGTCCTTATTATCAAATTATTCAATGAGCGGTATAGTACTTTTCATTAACTTCTACTATAGTAAGTCCGAATCGAATAAATTGTACAGAATTATACGACACTTACTTTCATCCTTTTTTCCGTGTTATGAAGCCAAACGATGTGGATTTGCCTAGACTCTCACTTTAAAAGAACGCAACTATCAGACTTTGTGCTGATCACATTTAGGTTTAAGCTTCCAGCTTACAATTTATTTGGTGGTCATTGTTATTTCAATCTTCGCATAATGTAATGTAGACCTCAGTGTTTACTTACTTAGACTCTTGGCCATAGCCTAAATTGTCCAACTGTCAATATATGTTTGTTAGTATAATAATAATAATAATAATAATAATAATAATAATAATAATAATAATAATAATAATAATAATAATAATAATCCCATTTTTGTTTAAAGAATCCTAATTTTCCAACCGATGAACGTTTAAATAACGAAAAGGTTATACGTGAAACTAATGAAGCTGAGTTGAATGAATGGCCACACTCGATTGGACGTTTGAAATCTGCCTTTCGTCACTTACCGATTCTTCGTGATTCAACACCTGGACGTGCACCTATTATTTCACTGTTAATTTATACTATTTGCGCTTTTGGTTTAGCTAGTCTTCTTTTACCAGGAGCTCAGTACATTCAAGAAGCACGTTGGTGGGCAGTGGTGATATTTATTTTATTCCTAATAGGAGCGATTTTCTTCGTGGTTATCATGTTCCTACACGAACAGAACAAATCATTCGATAGCTTCAAGGTATTTACTTACATTTACAATCCTTTAAATATATGAATCTGTTAAACTTATGAATATATTGACATGATATTTAAATTAATAAACTTCGATGCTACGACACGAATATCCATGACTTATATTTGTCCATAGAAACTGTAAATGAGTAAATAGTATATCGGTAATCAGTTGGTTATATACTTTCATGAGATGAAATACACTCACAGAAGTGCGATTACATATAGAATGAAACTTTCGGAACGTTAGGTAGAACTAAACATATCCAATGATAGTTGACTGCCTAACGGAGACTTACTGTAGCTTATCTATATTATCCCTGTCATATCTCTATGTTCGATTCTTACATCACTCAAATGTAAAGAAAATTCTTATTTTACCAAGTATAAACAAGTGTACAGTTTGTTAAATTCATCCCTATTTCCTTAGATGTATGCGAACCAACCATCTACTGTAACCTTGTCTTACTAGGAAATTGTAATTTATAAAACTGAAAAGTTTTTTGTGGAATTTGTAAATGATGAGTAAATTCAGATAATAAGTTTAATGTTCGACCCAAAATAAACTATGGAATTTGTGTAAATATACCAATCTGCAAAGGGGATAGTGACAGATATTACATTTTCTGTTATTTCTATCCATAACTTGAAGTCATATCACAATAAAACTGACTCTCGTTAACTTGAAATAAAGCCCTGAAAGCTATAATAACATAAAACATTGTATATATTTAGTCAATTAATATATTACATACCAAAACTTTCTAAATTCAAGAAAATTCTGTTCAATCGAAACAGACATTTTTCCAGTTCATTTATTGTCTAGTCGAATTATATTTGTAGTCATTTGTAGCATATTCCGTCATGAAATGTGAATTTATATCTGATACGACGTTCTTAATTTAGATTGAGTGATAAGCAAGTTTTTATAAAAATCTATTCAGTGAAGGTTGTTTTTTTTCTAAGCAACAAAATATATCATATTGTTCTGACAGATACATGACTAGGTAAAATGATGTATAGTTTGTTCAATCTCATCGATGGTAATAAAATATTTATTTTAATTATAAAGTTTAAAATACTTTATGCTTGTAAAATGTTTTCATTCATTCGATAAATTGACGTTGATGAGTATTCTGATATTACAAAGTATAAGTTAATCAAAACGCGAAAGCCAAGAAAATCATTCAGTATGAGCATACCCAGTCTTATTGATAGGAATTTACCGTAAAACATCCGAATTTTTGCTACTAGTAAACAAAAAAGTAGAAAATTTGTTTGTAATTCTAAAGAAGTGATTTAAATTAATTCTACTGTTCCAGATAAATTTTCGTTCAATCTCTTTGCTTATTTGTTTGTAATATTAACTTATTGATATTTCACAGTAATACATCATACCATTCAAGATTCTTCATAGAAATTTAATTTTTATTTCATATAAATTTTGTATTTTATTCATTAATGTTAAATAGTCTTAATCTCTTTATGGGTTCATTTAGAGATTTTCCAACAGGTAAACAATAATGCTTCAGTACACACTACTATTCACTTCAGTAATCTTCTAAGGCATTTAATGATTTCAAAATTGTCATTTATTTAATTACTGCTACACTTTAAATTAGTACCGAAGAAATAAAGACCGGTGTATTCATTATTTCGAATTCCTACTATGAATATGAAATTTCATGCAGTAAGAAAAAACTTATCTGTCAGAATCTCAGTTCATATGATTCATCATAACAGAATCTAAGTGCAATATTATTACAGTAGTATTTGTTTTCAAGGTTCAGTGTTTTAGTGGTTTTCCAGAAAACTGATAACGACTAACTACAGTTATCATATTTTTATTATTTCCGATTATAATAACTAGCACATCGATATTAAAAACATCTCGGAATTTATTACTGATTAATACATAAGCAACCGAACTTTTATTCAATTAAAAAAGGATCATCTTATGAAATTACTAGCTTACTAGGCTTGGTTAAAGCCTCTTACATATTCAAGCACCAGTCAATTTAGAATAAACATTTCATTTTGAAAAAAGATCATTATTAGCATATTTTATGAGTCCTCAGTAATTTCTTTGTCTTGTTTCTTTGGGGTTCAGGTTCCATTTGTTCCTCTGATTCCATGTTTATGTGTTTTCCTGAATTTTTGTCTTATGGTAAAATTATCACCTATGACATGGGTTCGATTCATTATTTGGTTAGTTATCGGTAAGATATTCAAAGATGAGTATTTATTTTTATTTCTCTCTTAATCTATTTATATGCTAAATATAGTTTATATAGAACATAAAATATAATGATGTGGTAGAGATAATTTCAAGTCTAAACTTGTTATTCTGCTCCAAAATTCTTTAGAGAAATAATCGAAGTTACTGGAGATATTTATGGAAGTACCCTATCTAAAATAATGACATGTTTCCTTAAACTTTTAAATAAATTTGGTAGAAAGGCAGGGAGATCCTTGAAAATTTCTGTTGGTAGTCAGCTAAATACCTTGGACAATGATCAGTCACTTGTCAGAAAGGTTCAGGACTTTTTGAAGACCAAATACTTAGGTTATTCTTTAACCCTTTTGCCCGGTCGCAAAACGTATTCTGTTTCAATCAAACAGATACAGAAATCAGCACTGTTGGTTAATATGTAATGGACCGAGTAAAAAAAACACTTTTCATTAAACTGCGATACACAGACCTTTATTGTCTTAAATAAGGACTCAATACAATGAAATACTGAAGGACTCATTGTTAATTAATACATTTGATCATATAAAGGGTCCAAAGTATATTCACTCGCATTTGAACACAATCATGAATTTTTGTTCTTTTAAGCTGTGAATGCTTTAGATTATTAAGAATATTAAAATTTGCCTAAATTTTGATACTGTTTGGTCAGACTATTTGAACATTAATTTTCATTAAAATTCATGATATTCACCATAAAACCAGCTCAGACGTACAATCTTCATAACGAAACAATAAGTCTGCCAAGCACTTCTAATAAAACGAACAATATTCAATGTGTATCTGAATGAAAACAAGCAAACTGACCGGATAAAACTGTTATAAAAAACTGTTTTTCCTATTGCTGAAAGTAATATCAACGGAGTATGATTCTAACCAGGTATTGGATTGTTAAAAATTAAGTACCTAAGCTATTGAATCACAGTTACCCAAATTGATCTATGATTCATGTTTATTTTCTTGTTATTGAACTGTGTTATTGATAAGCATTTTATCAATTTATTAAACACTGAACCACAGCGTGATGGCTCAAAACTTGTATATAAGTCAATCTCCTTAGCAAGCATTATTATGTTATGAAAAGTATTCAGTTCATTGACTTATTGTATTGTAAAATATTGTTCATAGGTTTGATTATTTATTTTGCATATGGATGGAGGCACAGCATTCATGCAAGTAATCCTGGAGAGTCAGGAAAATTAATTACAGTACCGAAGATGGGTAGTTTTGACGAAGATATCGCAGGATCAGGTTTTGAACCGTATGAAAATACTAATACACTTCAAAATTATGAACACAGACTGGAATGAGTCTTTGAGATTTTTCCGTGTTGTCTTTTTGTGTTTATATATATATGTATTTATACATGTGCAGTGATGTTTATCATTATTATTATTTCTTTCTTTATTCCAATCACTTGTCAGATATCTTTGTTTTTTTGAGTTGAAAAAAATATGTTGTCTTTTTCACCTGGTACGTCGCACAATGACTTAATATTTATTTACATATTGATCTACTTTTGATTATGTTGTCTGTTTTGACCGAGTGATTTGTGAAATTCTTGTATTTCTGCTTTTGATCTTTGTGTTCAAAATAAAAGAGGTTACGAATATTTTAAATCAATGACTTATGAAAAAACAATATTTTTAGGATAATTGATAGGATTGATATTTTCATAGTTTCCATTGAGATGTTTAAGACATAACTACGGTGGAATTATTGGTATATTTGCCTTGCCTATGGTATGTATATTTTACATTAGGTGTCGTTGCGAAATATCTTAGTAAAATGTTAGACTTCTTTCCAGCAAGTGTTTGATAAAATTACGACGAGCTTTTCTGTTTACATTATGGGATCGATCTACGGATTCCGTTCAGTTCAATAGGTAAGCATTGAGATCAAGTGACTGGTGTTAATCCTCGCAACCTGTCATACTGTGAAAAGCCAGTCTCGTTCTCACATGTACCAGCTTAAGGTGTTGATACTACGTGTTCCGTTGAAGAATTCCAGTAACTCACGACTAGGTTTAATAAAGTGAACTCTAGATATTGGCAATTTAGTATCAATTTCTGAGCTTTCTGATGGCCATTTCTAGATAGAAGTAAATAATAGGACAAATCAGTGCCAAGATCATTGTTTAGTGTAGAGTAAGCTAGTATTAGATCAGCTAGTAACTTGCGATAAGATAGCGGGGACAAGTTGAGTTGTCACAGTTTATTTAGATATTGCACGCTAGAAAAGCCTTTCAAAACTTCTCTGCCGTTGAACCCTCTCGAGCGTCTTTGTTTCGTGTTCAGAACAATGACCATCTGCTTGAATCTCAAATGTGGTCTCACAAAAATCCGTTATGATGACTTAGATATTTATTTGTGTTAATGAATAGATGACTTAAGAATAGTCTATAAAACTAAGAAGCATTTGACAGCCGTCGGGTTACGGCTACTTGTAATCCTTAGGTCCTTACTATTAATGACTACTGAGACTTCATGAACAATTGCTTTGAGCTATCCTGTTCAGCCAACTGTATGGTTATGTAAGCTGTCTCAATGACAAATTCGCATTACTACACATCACAGGCCTACTCACTTGACAGGTGTATTGAAGTCTTCTTATAAATCATATCAAACACACTTCGCGTGGTCCCACATATTTTAAATTCATCAGTAAGAACTAGGACGGGTTTGAAACATTTTGTGGACTACTTATATAAAATAGAAAACAATAAGGCCTATTGTGGCTTTTGTTGAACCCCATCCCTCATAGGTACCCATGACGATGGGGCACCATTTACTTTTAATGTTTCTTGGAATTGAGAACGTCAGTAGTTCAATTTTTTTACCTTGCAACTAGTTCCAGGATATGGTTTTTTGTTTGAACCCAAGATAAGGGACTCAACCAAAGGCTTTACTTAGATCTATAAAACTTACACCTGCTGAGAATGATTATCTTTCGCCGGAGTTCGTCTTCTGTTGCAATGAGATTTATTAAATATGAGAAACCTTTCCTAGGAACCAAGTTGTTTCCTCGCGAAAAGTTTGGTCCCTTTAACATGGCTTAAAATAGGAGCCCATGTTATCTTACTGGTAAGATGGGTGTTTTAAAAATATTTTATCTCAGGTTAATACGGTAACACGTTAATACGACAACAGGATTAATCACGTTGTATCAGAACCAGGGTTCACAACCCAAAAATTGAGAGGCAGGTTAACATTGGATAATACTTTTCTCGATACAATTAAAGGCAACTACACTCAGTGAGTCCGGCCTAAAATTCAACGATAGGAGAAGTCACATATTTAATAGTCCGTAGGCTGTAGTAGTTCGTCCACGCTCAATGACCAGTCATATGTTACTTCCATTAGCACATATCACTTACATTTTGATTTAACAACTTTATTGTTAGGTTGACCGGATGGTACTGATCGACTGAATTGTTTATTTCTTGATGGTGGAACTTCAGATGGAACTCAAAACAACTGTCAACCAATATTAAAGTGAAGATCTTCAATACGACCGTTAATATAGTCCTGCTGTACGGAGCAGAAACGTGGAGAACCTCCACAACCAACGTCAAAATAGTGCAAGTATTTATGAGTAGCTGTCTATGCAAGATACTTCAGATTTGTTGGTCGGATACCATCATCAACAGCCTTCTGTGGGAGAGGACCAACCAGCTTGCAAATGAAGTGGAAACTAGAAAAATACTATGGAAGTAAATAGGATATACACTATGAAAATCATCAAACTGCATCACGAAGCAAACCCTAGCTTAGAAATCTGGTAGAAAGTAGAAAAGAAGAGGGCCAAAGAACACATTATATCGAAAAATGGAAGCAGACATGAAAAGGGTGAATAATAACTGGAGAGGAATGCCCAGGACAGGGTTGGTTAGAGTGTGCTGGTGGGTGGCCAATGCTCCTCCACTAAGTGTGATAGGCGTAATTAAGTAAGTATAGCATCTAAAATGGCGGAAGACACGAAATACATAAGTAGAATTTTCCATAGGATAAAAATTTACCAAACTTGTGCTCACCTCTGTAACTCATCATTGGTGAGACCGACGTGATCCGGTACACTTAATTGCAACTGTGAGTCTGTTCCTTTTTGGGATTTTTATATATTATTGCCTTATTTTCTTTATTTTTTATACATTGTGATATTTTTCCCCGTGTTTTAAGATATCTATATATTTTTCCCTCGTATTCTCGTATCTAATATTACCCTATGACCGAACAGACTCCTAAAGTATTTAGGATTAAAACCATGTCCCCATCCTCGTTTCAACTCATGCCTTTCTGGCCCGACAGTATCGAAGCCTGGTTCTGCTACGCAGAAGTCGACTTCCACGAGCACGGCGTGATCGACACACGTGCACAATTCTTCGCAGTAGTCAAGGCACTACCGCGGGAATTCAACAGGTACGTAACACCTAGTATGTTTACTAGTGATGTTTCTGAACCTTACGAAACCTTAAAACATTCGATTCTTAAACGAGGTGACCTAACCAATCGTCAAAGGTTAGGTCAACTCCTTAATAACATAGACCTGCAGCACAGTGCTGCTACGGACATGTTGCAAAGAATGAGAGAAGTGATAGGCCTAAGAACTTTCGACGAAGGCCTATTCAAACAACTTTACTTGTCTAAACTTCCCCAACAGATGCAAGCGGTTCAGATCTCGTTTCAGGACAACGCCTTTGACGAACTGGCTGCAGCTGACGATCGTATCTTAGAAATTACGAAATCTTCCTCTACCGAGGTTTTTTCAGTCAAAGAAAAGCCTCAAGCGACTCAGAATGACATAACCGAGTTATGTCATACACTTACGCGTTATCTTAATTTTCGTAACGACCGTAAACGATCACACACTTCATGTAGAAGCACTTCACGCAAGCGATCTGTCTCAAGACCATGAGAGACGGATAACCTCGACTGGTGCTGGTATCATAACCAGTATGAAAAGTTTTCCAGAAATTGCAGAAAACCCTACAAGTTTCCCAACTCAAAACCGACCGACTCGGAAAACAACTCGGGAAACTTCCAAGCCGGCACGTGTTAACGGCAACCGTAGCCGGCGAACATGGCCGTCTGTTATACATCACAGATGTGACAACGAGAGTTCGCTACCTCGTCGACACTGGCGCAGAAGTTAGCGTTCTCCCAGCGAATCCCAACGACTGACTTCACGAAGCGGCTTTAAACTTACAGGCGGCAAACGGAAAACCTATCGCTACGTATGGCAAAAGGTACGTTTACCTTAACGTGGGTTTACGCAAACCCATTCACTGGATCTTCGTTGTTGCAGATGTTTCTATGCCAATCATTGGTATGGATCTTCTACAACACCACAATCTAATCATCGATACTCGCAAACGGAGGCTAGTAGACGGAAACAATAATTTAATCGTTTGCGTAACTTCTTTTTCTGGTTGCAAATTATCCCAAGTCACAATCAAGCATATGATAGACCCACTCTATCAACCACTACTCGATAAGTATCCTGGGATACAACAAACTCAACCGAAACTACCGTGTGTAACCAGCAACGTTACACATCACGACTACAGGACCACCTGTATTCTCTAAAGCACGACGACTAGCTCCCGAAAAGCTAAGGTTAGCGAAAAACGAGTTCGACCATATGATAGACTTTCGAATCATACAACCGTCAAGTAGCCCATATGCATCTCCGTTGCACATGGTCCCTAAAAAGGACAGCAACGATTGGCGTCCAACTGGCGACTATCGGCGATTGAATGCAAAAACCATTCCCGATCGTTACCCGTTGCCTCACATTCACGATTTGACAGCTACCTTGAAAGGAACAACTGTCTTTTCGAAAACCGACTTGGTTAAAGCATATAACCAAATCCGCATGGTCACAGACGACATACCGAAAACCGCCATCATTACTCCCTTCGGACTCTATGAATTTTTGCGAATGCCTTTCGGTCTAAGGAACGCTGCTCAAACATTCCAAAGATTCATAAACGACGTTCACGGAGGTCTCCACTTTGTACATGCGTATATTGACGACTGCCTAATCGCAATTCCGGACAGAGAATCACATCTCAAGCATCTGGATCTTGTTTTCGAACGACCACAAAAACATGGCATTACTGTAAACGTTCAGAAATGCCAAATTGGAACCGACTCATTAAACTTCCTAGGACACACTATAGATGCTCAAGGCATTCGACCCCCTTAGGGCCAAAGTGGCGGCCATTCTGGATTACCCAGAACCGACCACCGTCAAGCAACTACGAACGTTTAACGGCCTGGTAAGTTTCTATAGACGATTCGTACCTAAATGCGCTTTACTCATGTAACCTCATACCGACCAACTTCGTGGAAATGCGAAATCCATTAGTTTGGACGACACCGCACGAAAAGCATTCTCCACAGTTAAGGAACTTATCGCTAAAGCAACAATGCTCGCACATCAGGACACCCGAGCACCCATTAGCATCACAGTAGACGCATCCGACTCAGCAGTCGGAGGAGTTTTACAACAATGGGTTAACAACTCCTGACAATCATTGGCATTTTTCTCTAGAAGGTTGCTAGACACCGAATCAAAGTACAGCACATTCGGTAGGGAACTCCTAGCTATGTATTG